GGTGACTTTTGTTTTTGTTTTGACTACACGCGTGACCTTGCTGCTGCTCAGAGACATGAGGAGGCAGCTCCGACGCACAATTGAGTTTTATTGAACCAAATCCAGTGTAGCTGGAGCTAAATCTTTTGTTTGATTTCAAGTTTTGTTTTAAATGTTTTTACAAATTAATGTTCATTTTTATAGAGATTTTTCATAATTTCATTTCATGGCGTCTTTCAAGAAACCCAAGGACGCATAGATAATTAATCACACAGTACAAAAGTATATAATACATGTTTTAAAGTTTAAAAGGTTGTTTGTTTTGAGTATAATTGTTGTTTTGATAACTTCTTTAGTTTCTGGTTTTAAATGTCATCATTAGTAAGATAATAAGTAATCTTTATTTACATAGCGCTTGGGAAAGCCAAGAGCGCTTCAAAATTGTTTAGACTTCAGAGAGAAAAACAATCTCATTCACAATCTCTGTTGTTTTTAATTTGGCTATAAGGTTGTTTTCCAGAACCAAGAGCACACACTGTACAGGGTCACTGGACTGCTGGACACTGGACACCAAAGCCCACCCAGCCACAGGTCACAGATCAAAGAGCAAAGGGAAATGCCACCTCTACGCCCCTCCCCCCACTACAGAAGTAAGTGGGAGTGAGACCGGGGCCACAAAGTGGAGGTTTCTGGAGGCAGTGATGGGTGGAGCGTCAGGGAGAGACCTAGAGGCAGTTGAGAGTGTGTCCAGTTGGTTTGCATCACCACAGTGTGACCTTTGACACCTACAGGTGGTTCGTGGAGTCTGGAGAGACAACCCCAAAATTCACATACACACACACACACACACACACACATACACTCACACATTCACATTTACATATAGATACATGAAAAAGCAGAACATGAGAAAAAAGCATTTTAAAAGTTTACTCCAATGTAAACACATATTTTTAATTGTCTATCACTTGAATCAGTATTTTTTGAGACCAGAAATGTTCATTTGAATTCTATATTGTCATGGACTTAATTGACGTCTGTCCTGACACTTTTGATTTGTTGATTTTGTACTGTGTGAAGTAATTACATTGATTAGAATTAGATCTGATAAAAACACAAATTAGAGAAGTAAACTGCGCTTGCTTTTGTCTGAGAGACATTAGCAACAGCATGAATAGAAATTGTGTTAAAGTAGAATCAAAGTGACTTAACCATAGAGAGTAACTACTGCATTACAAGCTGTGTACAGGAACTGAGACACTGCACCATTGACCAGAAGTGCATCCCAAGTGACCTGATGTGCTTCAACTGAAAAGACTGTATCTGGAGATCTGATGTCCAACTGGAGAGACCAAAACTATGGCTTGGACCCTACTGATGTCCAAGATGACCTGACCTGATGACGACTGAGACTCACCCTCAGGGGACCTGAGGACCTGAGGACCTGAGGATCGAGAGAGAAAACTGGGGAGTGATGTTTATATTTTTGAAATCATACATTGATGAGTGCTAAATGAGACAGATACTCATGATTCTTTCTTTTGTTTTTGTTTGTCCCTAGCTTCTGGACATCTGATGATCTATTGGACACAGCCATTTGCAGAACAAGAACCAGCCAATGAAAACGTCTATTGCCGATGCTATTGCTACAACCAGAACCTGTGACCAAATGCAATATACATGTTAAGTATTCAGACATCTGACAGACAAAAACTTTGAAAATGATAAAGTATGAGTATTGTAGCGTTTTAGTAGATGTTAAATAGTAGTAAAAGAGTAGAATTTGACTTCCTTTGTTTTTCATAAACACATTTCCACATAAAAATATAATATTTGAGAATCAGAGTATTTTAGAGATATTAAAAAAGTGACAGAAGTCACAAATTAGAAATATGCCTTTGCTCAAGCTGCAGCCGAGCTTTTGAGTTAAAAAATAGTGGAAATATAGAATTAGATAAATGCATCAACCATAGATGCTTTCAAAAATAGAGATTATTTCTAGCCAGTGCTAATATCAAATGGTAAAGGGACCATTTCACAAGCATTTACTTCAAAAGTAGATAAAGTTAATTACAGTTTTATGTACAGTTTTATTAGATACTGCCAAATTCACTTGTGTTCACACATGAGTGAATGTTGACTATGCAAAAAGTCCATATGAGTGTAGCCTAGATTAATGCCTAGATCAATGAGATAGATTAGCACCAAGAGAGATTCAAAAGCATTTTGATGTATTTGTGTATAGCACAAAAACAAAATAGTAGATATTTGGATATCTTTGAGAAGTTTAAAAAGCTGTAGATTCACCAGCACAGATTAGAATCAAACACCATTGTAGAATAATAATAACTGACCCCAACCCCAAACCTGCTAAAGTAGATTAGCTCTTGTAAGGATAGTTCTAATTTGATTAAAGATGTACATTCATCCCAAACTGCCTGACAATAATATCTTTAGATAATAAAAAGTAATAAATCACTGACCACTATAGAAGTGTAAATGTTAACCATTTGCCTTACTGTGTTCAGTTTTATTCCTGAGAATGAGAATAGACATGGAGCAAAATCCCACTGATAATAAGCCACTGATAATGAGAGTGTAAAACCACAGAGAGATTTATTAGATTAAAATGTATGTTTAAGAATATGGCTCAATAGAAGCAAATATGCAAACATATTTGTAAATAGATTAGAATAGTTTTAAACTATAGTGATAGTGAAAGTAAAGTACACAGTCTAAGATTGAAAAGTGAAAATAATACAGTGAAATAAGTGAAGTGTAAACAATTAGCATTAGAATAAAAGTATAGAGTAATAAAAGTGAAATTAGCTTCAAATTTGAGACTCAGCTCGTTTTTGTCTGTGTTTTGACTGAATCTGCTGAGTTCTTGTGTGTCCAATAGTTTTTGTTTGTTTTTATTTTTGTTTGTTTTTATTTTTGATTTGTTTGTTTTTTTTTTTTGTTTTTTTTTTCCCAGGATAGAGGATAAAATCCACTGATATTGATTTGATGATTATGAGTTTAATGCATACATTTTCTTTGTTTTTTAATAATTTTGTAAAGTTTTTTTTTAGAATTTTTTTTCTTTTTCCACTTTATTGATTGATCGATTTGAGTGATCACATGTGATTATGTGATCAAAGGGGAGGGTATTAGTATTAGATAGCAATATGGCCTACGTGCAGGACTGTACAAGGACTCTACAAGGACTCCATGTTATGACTATGATTTGACTGTCTCTTTGTGACACGTATGTCTTTCGATGTGTGACGTGACAATGACTATATAAACTGTGTACTGCCTTTATTCTGTCTGAGGAAAAGAAACAGAGGAAACCAGTGGAACTTGAGAGAAACGTAAATAAACTTCCAGAGTTTGGCACACCACGATCCGTCTCTGTCTGCCTAAATCCTTACACTACTACTACTACTACTAATGCTACTACTACTGCTACTACTACTACTGCTACTACTGCTACTACTACTACTACTACTACTACTACTACTACTACTACTACTACTACTAGACGCAGAGAATGGATGCTTTTGGGTGATGTGAAAGGTAAGTGTATCGTTTATATGAAAGAAAATACTGGGATATACTGGGGTATGGAGTATATATATCGGGGAATGGGGTGTATATACTGGGGTATGGGGTGTATATACTGGGGTATGGGGTATATATACCGGGGTATGGGGCATATATACTGGGGTATGGGGTATATATACCTGGGTATGGGGTGTATATACTGGGGTATGGGGTATATATACTGGGGTATGGGGTATATATACTGGGGTATGGGGTATATAGACTGGGGTATGGGGTATATATACCGGGGAATGGGGTGTATATACCGGGGTATGGGGTGTATATACTGGGGTATATATACTGAAAGATCAAGGCTATGCTCACTCTCAGAGAGCAGCCGTCCTCCTGTGGACTCACCACCTGCAGAGGGTCAGTGAGGGGCTGGTGCTATGAGACTTGGGTGGCATCTCTGACTGCCACCCCCCTGACCCAGAAATGGATTAAAGGGTAGAAAATGGATGGATGGATGGATATATACTGGGGTATGGGGTATATATACCGGGGTATGGGGTGTATAAACTGGGGTATGGGGTATATATACTGGGGTATGGGGTATATATACCGGGGAATGGGGTGTATATACTGGGGTATGGGGTATATATACCGGGTAATGGGTATTTACAGTCTATGGAATGCACGTGGATGTATTCTATGGGGAATGCACAGTACGCGGTTATGCCTCTGCGTCAAATACGTAACCACTGTCTTTACGTTGACGTGGACCACTGCCCTCTCTCTCTCCCTCAGCTGCTTCATTGATACCATTTCTATTTATGGACAGACGTGCGTCCAGAGCCAAGGCTGCATACAAACTGCTACAAACCACAGCGTTTCTCTATTTTCGTCATTCATTTATAAAGATATGCAAACTGCTGTCGTTGTTTATTCAAGTCCCCAAAGTCCAATAATAGCGCGTTAAATTTGGACTTAGGATCGGGACTCGGGACACACCCATTTTACTACAAAATCACGACTTTAACTTCAGCCCTAGTTTCAAACAGAGCTTTTAAATTGCGTAAACACTGTTAAAATATATTAATTTATTCACAGTCTAGTTTTTTATACGGACATAACGGAGCGCGTGCGAGAAGGACCCAGGTCGCATCCGAAATCCTACAAAATACTTCCTTCACTTCCAGTGTCTGTTTATGCGACTATGTGTAACTACTAAGTACACATTTAGACCATTTTAAGACTTTTTCTCTAGTGTGTAGTGTGACATGTAAAGTCACCTATGTCTATAAAAGGATAAGGAGTAACACTGAAGGGCATTGTTTCGCTTTCGGATGCGGCCCTCTTGACTTTTGGCACGTTCGCAAACATGATTACGCACAAACTTTGACGTGCTAGCATAGCCCCGGGTTAGCTCTGAACAAGTTAGCTTCAAAAACAGGAGAACATGTAAATAAAAACAGCGGTTTGTGGGAACTTACGTGAGGTTCAAGCCGCAGAGGGTCCCGTTAGCCCGGGGCGAGGAGAGGAGAGGGGAGGAGAGGGGAGGAGAGGGGGGAGGAGAGGGGAGGAGAGGGGGGAGTGGCTGCGACAGGAGCTGCAGAGGGAGACCACGCAGCTGACGCACAGGGGGAGAGGGGGGGAGACAGAGAGGGGGGAAGAGGAGGAGAGAATGTGAGACAGAGGGAGAGGGGGGAGAGAAGGTTTAGGCAGAGGGGAGAGACAGGGAGAGGGGGAGAGAAGGTTTAGGCAGAGGGGAGAGACAGGGAGAGGGGGAGAGAAGGTTTAGGCAGAGGGGAGAGACAGGGAGAGGGGGGAGAGAAGGTTTAGGCAGAGGGGAGAGACAGGGAGAGGGGGAGAGAAGGTTTAGGCAGAGGGGAGAGACAGGGAGAGGGGTAGAGAAGGTTTAGGCAGAGGGGGAGAGAAGGTTTAGGCAGAGGGGAGAGAAGGTTTAGGCAGAGGGGAGAGATAGGGAGAGGGGGAGAGAAGGTTTAGGCAGAGGGGAGAGACAGGGAGAGGGGGAGAGAAGGTTTAGGCAGAGGGGAGAGACAGGGAGAGGGGTAGAGAAGGTTTAGGCAGAGGGGAGAGAAGGTTTAGGCAGAGGGGAGAGAAGGTTTAGGCAGAGGGGAGAGATAGGGAGAGAGGGGGAGAGAAGGTTTAGGCAGAGGGGGAGAGACAGGGAGAGGGGGAGAGAAGGTTTAGGCAGAGGGGAGAGACAGGGAGAGGGGGAGAGAAGGTTTAGGCAGAGGGGAGAGACAGGGAGAGGGGGAGAGAAGGTTTAGGCAGAGGGAGAGGGGAGAGGGGAGAGAAGGTTTAGGCAGAGGGGAGAGACAGGAGAGGGGGAGAGAGGTTTAGGCAGAGGGGAGAGACAGGGAGAGGGGGAGAGAAGGTTTAGGCAGAGGGGAGAGACAGGGAGAGGGGGAGAGAAGGTTTAGGCAGAGGGGAGAGACAGGGAGAGGGGGAGAGAAGGTTTAGGCAGAGGGGAGAGACAGGGAGAGGGGGAGAGAAGGTTTAGGCAGAGGGGAGAGACAGGGAGAGGGGGAGAGAAGGTTTAGGCAGAGGGGAGAGACAGGAGAGGGGAGAGAAGGTTTAGGCAGAGGGGAGGAAGAGAAGGTTTAGGCAGAGGGGAGAGACAGGGAGAGGGGGAGAGAAGGTTTAGGCAGAGGGGAGAGACAGGGAGAGGGGGAGAGAAGGTTTAGGCAGAGGGGAGAGATAGGGAGAGGGGGAGAGAAGGTTTAGGCAGAGGGGAGAGACAGGGAGAGGGGGAGAGAAGGTTTAGGCAGAGGGGAGAGACAGGGAGAGGGGGAGAGAAGGTTTAGGCAGAGGGGAGGGGAGAGAGAAGGTTTAGGCAGAGGGGGAGGAGAGAAGGTTTAGGCAGAGGGGAGAGACAGGGAGAGGGGGAGAGAAGGTTTAGGCATAGGGGAGAGACAGGGAGAGGGGGAGAGAAGGTTTAGGCAGAGGGGAGAGACAGGGAGAGGGGGAGAGAAGGTTTAGGCAGAGGGGAGAGACAGGGAGAGGGGGAGAGAAGGTTTAGGCAGAGGGGAGAGACAGGGAGAGGGGGAGAGAAGGTTTAGGCAGAGGGGAGAGACAGGGAGAGGGGGAGAGAAGGTTTAGGCAGAGGGGAGAGACAGGGAGAGGGGGAGAGAAGGTTTAGGCAGAGGGGAGAGAGAGGGGAGAGAAGGTTTAGGCAGAGGGGAGAGACAGGGAGAGGGGGAGAGAAGGTTTAGGCAGAGGGGAGAGACAGGGAGAGGGGGAGAGAAGGTTTAGGCAGAGGGGAGAGACAGGGAGAGGGGTAGAGAAGGTTTAGGCAGAGGGGGAGAGAAGGTTTAGGCAGAGGGGAGAGAAGGTTTAGGCAGAGGGGAGAGATAGGGAGAGGGGGAGAGAAGGTTTAGGCAGAGGGGAGAGACAGGGAGAGGGGGAGAGAAGGTTTAGGCAGAGGGGAGAGACAGGGAGAGGGGGGAGAGAAGGTTTAGGCAGAGGGGAGAGAGACAGGGAGAGGGGGAGAGAAGGTTTAGGCAGAGGGGAGAGACAGGGAGAGGGGGAGAGAAGGTTTAGGCAGAGGGGAGAGACAGGGAGAGGGGGAGAGAAGGTTTAGGCAGAGGGGAGAGACAGGGAGAGGGGGAGAGAAGGTTTAGGCAGAGGGGAGAGACAGGGAGAGGGGGAGAGAAGGTTTAGGCAGAGGGGAGAGACAGGGAGAGGGGGAGAGAAGGTTTAGGCAGAGGGGAGAGACAGGGAGAGGGGGAGAGAAGGTTTAGGCAGAGGGGAGAGACAGGGAGAGGGGGAGAGAAGGTTTAGGCAGAGGGGAGAGACAGGGAGAGGGGGGGAGAGAAGGTTTAGGCAGAGGGGAGAGACAGGAAGAGGGGGAGAGAAGGTTTAGGCAGAGGGGAGAGATAGGGAGAGAAGGTTTAGGCAGAGGGGAGAGACAGGGAGAGGGGGAGAGAAGGTTTAGGCAGAGGGGAGAGACAGGGAGAGGGGGAGAGAAGGTTTAGGCAGAGGGGAGAGATAGGGAGAGGGGGAGAGAAGGTTTAGGCAGAGGGGAGAGACAGGGAGAGGGGGAGAGAAGGTTTAGGCAGAGGGGAGAGACAGGGAGAGGGGGAGAGAAGGTTTAGGCAGAGGGGAGAGACAGGGAGAGGGGGAGAGAAGGTTTAGGCAGAGGGGAGAGAGGGGGGAGAGAAGGTTTAGGCAGAGGGGAGAGACAGGGAGAGGGGGAGAGAAGGTTTAGGCATAGGGGAGAGACAGGGAGAGGGGGAGAGAAGGTTTAGGCAGAGGGGAGAGACAGGGAGAGGGGGAGAGAAGGTTTAGGCAGAGGGGAGAGACAGGGAGAGGGGGAGAGAAGGTTTAGGCAGAGGGGAGAGACAGGGAGAGGGGGAGAGAAGGTTTAGGCAGAGGGGAGAGACAGGGAGAGGGGGAGAGAAGGTTTAGGCAGAGGGGAGAGACAGGGAGAGGGGGAGAGAAGGTTTAGGCAGAGGGGAGAGAGGGGGAGAGAAGGTTTAGGCAGAGGGGAGAGACAGGGAGAGGGGGAGAGAAGGTTTAGGCAGAGGGGAGAGACAGGGAGAGGGGGAGAGAAGGTTTAGGCAGAGGGGAGAGACAGGGAGAGGGGGAGAGAAGGTTTAGGCAGAGGGGAGAGATAGGGAGAGGGGGAGAGAAGGTTTAGGCAGAGGGGAGAGACAGGGAGAGGGGGAGAGAAGGTTTAGGCAGAGGGGAGAGACAGGGAGAGGGGGAGAGAAGGTTTAGGCAGAGGGGAGAGACAGGGAGAGAGGGGGAGAGAAGGTTTAGGCAGAGGGGAGAGACAGGGAGAGGGGGAGAGAAGGTTTAGGCATAGGGGAGAGACAGGGAGAGGGGTAGAGAAGGTTTAGGCAGAGGGGAGAGATAGGGAGAGGGGGAGAGAAGGTTTAGGCAGAGGGGAGAGACAGAGAGGGGGAGAGAAGGTTTAGGCAGAGGGGAGAGACAGGGAGAGGGGGAGAGAAGGTTTAGGCAGAGGGGAGAGACAGGGAGAGAAGGTTTAGGCAGAGGGGAGAGACAGGGAGAGGGGGAGAGAAGGTTTAGGCATAGGGGAGAGAGAGGGAGAGAAGGTTTAGGCAGAGGGGAGAGACAGGGAGAGGGGGAGAGAAGGTTTAGGCAGAGGGGAGAGACAGAGAGAGGGGGAGAGAAGGTTTAGGCAGAGGGGAGAGACAGGGAGAGGGGGAGAGAAGGTTTAGGCAGAGGGGAGAGACAGGGAGAGGGGGAGAGAAGGTTTAGGCAGAGGGGAGAGACAGGGAGAGGGGGAGAGAAGGTTTAGGCAGAGGGGAGAGACAGAGAGAGGGGGAGAGAAGGTTTAGGCAGAGGGGAGAGACAGGGAGAGGGGGAGAGAAGGTTTAGGCAGAGGGGAGAGACAGGGAGAGGGGGAGAGAAGGTTTAGGCAGAGGGGAGAGACAGGGAGAGGGGGAGAGAAGGTTTAGGCAGAGGGGAGAGACAGGGAGAGGGGGAGAGAAGGTTTAGGCAGAGGGGAGAGATAGGGAGAGGGGGAGAGAAGGTTTAGGCAGAGGGGAGAGACAGGGAGAGGGGGAGAGAAGGTTTAGGCAGAGGGGAGAGACAGGGAGAGGGGGAGAGAAGGTTTAGGCAGAGGGGAGAGACAGGGAGAGGGGGAGAGAAGGTTTAGGCATAGGGGAGAGACAGGGAGAGGGGGAGAGAAGGTTTAGGCAGAGGGGAGAGGTAGGGAGAGGGGGAGAGAAGGTTTGGGCAGAGGGGAGAGACAGGGAGAGGGGGAGAGAAGGTTTAGGCAGAGGGGAGAGACAGGGAGAGGGGGAGAGAAGGTTTAGGCAGAGGGGAGAGACAGGGAGAGAAGGTTTAGGCAGAGGGGAGAGACAGGGAGAGGGGGAGAGAAGGTTTAGGCAGAGGGGAGAGACAGGGAGAGGGGGAGAGAAGGTTTAGGCAGAGGGGAGAGACAGGGAGAGGGGGAGAGAAGGTTTAGGCATAGGGGAGAGACAGGGAGAGAAGGTTTAGGCAGAGGGGAGAGATAGGGAGAGAAGGTTTAGGCATAGGGGAGAGAGAGGGGGAGAGAAGGTTTAGGCAGAGGGGAGAGATAGGGAGAGGGGGAGAGAAGGTTTAGGCATAGGGGAGAGAGGGGGAGAGAAGGTTTAGGCATAGGGGAGAGACAGGGAGAGAAGGTTTAGGCAGAGGGGAGAGATAGGGAGAGAAGGTTTAGGCAGAGGGGAGAGACAGGAAGAGGGGGAGAGAAGGTTTAGGCAGAGGGGAGAGACAGGGAGAGAAGGTTTAGGCAGAGGGGAGAGACAGGAAGAGGGGGAGAGAAGGTTTAGGCAGAGGGGAGAGACAGGGAGAGAAGGTTTAGGCAGAGGGGAGAGACAGGAAGAGGGGAAGAGAAGGTTTAGGCAGAGGGGAGAGACAGGGAGAGGGGGAGAGAAGGCGAGACAGAAGACAGGGGTGAGGGAGAGAAAAGGTGAGGCTGGGGGGAGAGACAGAGTAAGAAAGGCAGACGGGGGAGGGACAGGGGTGAAGGGGAGGTCAATGTCTGGGGAGGGTCCAGTGTAGAAGACAAAACGTATGTGGACATTTATGGGGACATTGTGGCTGTACCTGCAGGTGGAAGCCAGATACACCAGAGCCTTTGAAGCTAAGCAGGGCAAGGCCTGGATAGGGCTGTGATGGGAGACCGTTAGGACCATCAGGTGTCACAGTGAGGTGGCTGCAGCAGTATACTGCCAAACTGTGGTTGTGTCCTTAGGCAAGACACTTCACCCACATTAAAATGAGGTGTGTATGTGTGTGTGTCATGTATAATATGTAAATTCTGTAAATTCATAACTGATTCTTGTTTATTAGCTTGAAATAGATTCAATCTCATTAAATATTGCACATTACTATTATAAGGACTCAGGTCACTCCAGAGTCTCAAACTCCAGCAGCTCCGACACTGAGGTGATCCAGTCGTGCGCTGGACACAGTGGACAGTGTTTGACAAAAAACAGTCCTCTTCAGTTTCGCAGATGGTCAGGAAGGTAAGACTCAGGGAAGGCTTAACATCTTAGACTGTCAGTCAAGCTGCATAGGGAGCCCCCTGCTGGAGAAGTATGGTAACAGCACTATCCTCTCCTCCTTCCTACTTTATCTGTCTGCGTTATTAGGACTGTAGTCTGTTCATTGCTATTCACCCATTGTCTGTTTCATGGTGCGACGACGGGATCTCTGAGCCTGGCCTCCTCCATCTACACCTGCGGACTGCCCCGCCCGACCCGCCTGGGAGTGCTTCAGTCCTGAACCGGACCTGTCCACGCTCTGTAGCTTAGGTCCTGGATCTACGGCCTCAGTCCTCGTTCTACAGTCTGAGTCCTGGATCTACAGCCCGTCTGTCCGTGTAGGAGCGGATCCCTTTCTCAATGTGGGTCTCCCCGAGGTTTCTCACTTTTCCCTCCCTGGGTTTTAGAGTTTTTCCTCTGATGCAGGAGTCTGTTGGGCAGTTAGTGATGATCCAGGACACTTTAACATGTGTTCCATATTCTTTATGTGTTTTAACTGTTGATTCTCTGACCTGTGTTGGTGATTTCAATGGTTTTGTTAAGTCTCTGAGCTGGCTTTTGTTGTGATTTAGGGCTATACAAGAATAAATTGTATTGTATTGACGACTTCCATGATGTCCCAGAGTCCTTTGCCCCAATGTTTATAAAAGTTTGAACAATAGCAAATAATTAAGAGACTGCTCTGTGTTCCCTGTGTGTGTTGTACCATAATATAACATTATCTTGCATTACTTTACTGTTAGTTTTTGTTTTTTAACAGTGAGAGTGGTTGGACATTGTTTTAATATATAGACTTTATTGATCCCCGAAGGAACACATCCATCCAGACAAACAAATAAATACATAATTCTAAAAGTTACTAACAATATTATTAAAGTGCAGCAGCAGCAGCAGAGATGGTTTGGCCGCTTCCTCTGGTTGAAGTCTTCAGAATTTGCTTCGTTCAGACCATTTTCCCTGCTCTGGTTCAGAGTGAAGTTCTGAATTCGCATTTAAATTAGCATTCCCAGTGGATTTACGCCGCTTGGTTGGGGCCGTGCATCCTCTCAGTAACATTTAGGTAACTTAGGCCTTGATTATAAGCCTCTGCCGCTTCACCCAACCCCTTTTCAGAACATATGGCCAAAGTTATATACTGTATATTATGTTGTTTTTTGGTGAATTGGTGACGTAAAAATGAACAAAAGTGACACAGTAAAGATTTCCAGCATTTAATCAAAAACATGTTGCGGCGAACAAAGAAAACATTTGTACATTCTCCTCTTAACAGTCTCCGAAAACCTCGTCCAATCATACGACAGCTTCTCCCTAACCAGGAAGTCCTTTTTTTTTTTTTTTTTAAAGCTACAAAGTAAATACAGCCGTCCAGTTCAGCAGAATACAATCATCAATATACAGTAAGAACATTTGAGATTTTGACGCCGTTTTGGACCAATCAGAGCAAAGCTTAGAGACGAGGTCGGCTGAATATTCACACGCATGGAGCTCAGTGGCAAAAAACAGAACTTTATTGACAAATCGTGAACAGTACGGTCTTGGTGTTTAGTACTGAGGACATTCGGCATCGGTTTCTTTCTGTCCAAGGCTGAGACCGTTACATAACCAGGCCAATTTTGAGAGAATAATAAAGATTTAGGTTCTTTTTTTTTTTTAAATAAGGAGTTAAAATGTGTGTTTTGAAAGTTAAGTACCCCAGCTTTAAATCAGACACCAGAAATGTTGGGCTGAAGATTGGATAAGACAAAACAAGAAATACACATTATTTTAGCTTTTTTAAATGATGAAGAGCATTTACTTTGGTAATTTCTTGCTTTAGAATGTGAATAATATCGTCGCTAAAAATATATATGATAGAAAAAAGGTTGCTGCCTGTAACGCACTCGGCTGCCACCAGAGGGAGCTGAACTGGTTTTATTCCAAATTTGAGGCAAAGATTTTGATTCACCTTTTGTTTTAAAAAGGCGGAAAACGGGGTCCTGCGTGTGACGTCATAGAGGTACGATGACATCACACTGGGACTGGACTGAGACTGGGGCTTTTCGACAGAAGAGGCGGAGTTATCAGCATGGATGGCGCTAAAAACTACTCCAGTTTGGTTGTCGTAAAATGCTTTAAAGCCCATTTTGGTCAGATTATGTCTCTTTAAACACATTGAAAGCCCTGGATTCTCCGAGTGCCAGTCCAAAAACACCAGATTTAATGTCAGTAAATTATTGTTTTGTGACGACCGCTTCATTGCGACGGCTCCAAGTGAGAAAACAGAAGAATTTAAGTAATATTTGTCACATTGAACCCTTTGTAGCTTAAACAGCAAGTATCTCAACTAGAAGAGAATGTATAAAAGCCTTAAAATATGTAAGTTTGTCCGTCAGGTATCGACCGAGAAGATAATTTAGTATTTACTGCGTCTCACACTCTCGGCGTTGTTTTGCTTTCTGATAATTTAGCAACATTTAAGGACATTGGTCTCTGCCCCTTAATGAATTGAATGGAATGCTGGAGTATGTAACGTTATGAGATAATCCTGTATGAAATAATATAAATGCTAGTACAAAAGGTTGTCTACGTCCTCGGTACAGACATGTCTTAAAAACCTAAAAGTTACAGATGAAATCAAAGAGTTGGCTCCATGCAGGTGAATACTGGACTCCCGTGTTTCTCTCTCTGCTTAAAAACCAAAAACGACATTCTGCTTTGTGCGAGTGCAGCCGACTCTTACAGCTCGGTCCCAAAAAAATAATAAAAATACAGCTTTGAAAATACATGAGAATTGATAAAAACTCCCAGCTTCCTGTGTCCAGCATGAGAGAAACAGCAACGATTAGGTCTAAAGTACAAGACGCTGCAAAAAATATATATATATACGGAAGTCCAGACGCATTCAGAAATATATTTGTGTAGTCTTCAAACTGATTTGAGATTTACGTAATAAATATTTTGATATTTGTGAAAGTGCATATGGCAGGCTGTGGTCAGATTATTCAATATTTTCATAATTTTTTTAGTGTTGTTTGGACCATTTTGGCAAAGTTCAGATACAGTTTAAAGCCAGCGATAATGAAGGCAACAGTCGGAGAGATGACTTTCCACTTGGACCGAAGACCTGCTGATTATCGAACAGATTTGGCATCATTCATATGTTTGAAATATCCAGAAAGAACAGATTTAAACTCTCTTAAAACACTGTCACTAATGTTCTGTATTCTGTATGTATGTTATTGTTGTCAATAGTTTTACTTTCTCTTTCTATAGGTTTAATGTTGTATGTTTGTACTTATGTTTAGGACCCCGGGCAAAAATAAGATCTCAAGGGGCTTTTCTTGAATAAACTTTAAAATAAAAATCTCTGACTATGACAATTATGAGCCTAGAAACGCCGACTGTTTAAACCAGAGGTGGCTGCAGGTTTTCACTCCAACCAAGCACAGCAGACGTCAGCTCTCTATAAGTCCACTTCTAACACACAGTCTATGGTCACAGGTGGATAGACGTCGTCTGGACAACGAAAAATACAATCAACCTTGTGCGCACATTGGTGATTGCTAATCCAGAGATGCTAATCCAGAGATGCTAATCCAGAGATGCTATGTTATACTGCATTTTAAAGCCTCTTACCATCAATGCTGTAAATTACTGCCCAAAAACATTATCATTTCAAGGGCAACTAAACATTTTCCCGTGGGCCTGAGTTTGACATGCCTTCTCTAGTGTTAGCATAAGGCTAACGCTAGGCTGACATCAGCTATCGGTAAGTCCACTTCTAATACACACAGTCTGTGGTCACATGTGGTTGGACAGCGGTCAGACAACAAACATACAATCAAACTTGTGCGCACATTGGTGATCGCTAATGCAGAGATGCTAGTCCAGAGATGCTAATCCAGAGATGCTAATCCAGAGATGCTAAGACAGAGATGCTAAGGCCGAGATGCTAAGGCCGAGATGCTAATGCAGAGATGCTAGTCCAGAGATGCTAGTCCAGAGATGCTAATCCAGAGATGCTAAAACAGAGATGCTAAGACAGAGATGCTAAGGCCGAGATGCTAAGGCCGAGATGCTAATACAGAGATGCTAAAACAGAGATGCTAAGACAGAGATGCTAAAACAGAGATGCTAAGACAGAGATGCTAAGGCCGAGATGCTAAGGCCGAGATGCTAGTCCAGAGATGCTAATGCAGAGATGCTAGTCCAGAGATGCTAAGACAGAGATGCTAATCCAGAGATGCTAAAACAGAGATGCTAATACAGAGATGCTAATACAGAGATGCTAGTCCAGAGATGCTAATGCAGAGATGCTAGTCCAGAGATGCTAATGCAGAGATGCTAATGCAGAGATGCTAGTCCAGAGATGCTAATGCAGAGATGCTAGTCCAGAGATGCTAATGCAGAGATGCTAGTCCAGAGATGCTAATGCAGAGATGCTAGTCCAGAGATGCTAATGCAGAGATGCTAATGCAGAGATGCTAGTCCAGAGATGCTAATGCAGAGATGCTAATGCAGAGATGCTAGTCCAGAGATGCTAATGCAGAGATGCTAATGCAGAGATGCTAGTCCAGAGATGCTAATGCAGAGATGCTAATGCAGAGATGCTAATGCAGAGATGCTAGTCCAGAGATGCTAATGCAGAGATGCTAATGCAGAGATGCTAGTCCAGAGATGCTAATGCAGAGATGCTAATGCAGAGATGCTAATGCAGAGATGCTAGTCCAGAGATGCTAATGCAGAGATGCTAATGCAGAGATGCTAGTCCAGAGATGCTAATGCAGAGATGCTAATGCAGAGATGCTAATGCAGAGATGCTAATCCAGAGATGCAGCTAATTGTGTGATTTGTCTTCCAACGCTTACAGACTACAAGTGTTGAACCTGCCATATGCACTTTTATCATCTATACTCACATATTTTGAACAATCTGGTCAGTTTTAGTATTTTTGGTTTACTTCCCAGCATCCAGATACTTTCTAAAGGCGGCTGTTTTTACTCGAGTAGATCCAGCTACTCTAAGTTCACATTCAGACCATTCTACGAGGCCGCGTAATCTTGTATGTATTAAATTATTGATTCCATCTTAACAAAGGCACTATGCAGTTAACAATCTTCTTCTTCCAAACTCAAGCTGTAAAAGAATCATGAAAAAAATAAAATATGGTAATTACATTCAAAGCTCCCAGCTCTAAACCTGAAGAGTGAAGTTACCAATGCGTTTTCTGAATTCAATATATATCGTGTGTCTGTCCATAGCCGGCTACGGTGACAGCGACTGGTCCCATAATGCATTGCAAACCTCACCGCCGCAAGTATAATGCGACTATAGGACTTTTATCATCTGAAGTTTGTTTTATGCACACAGATCCACAGTAACGTTACGATTCTAAAGCTTTTTTTGTTCCCTATATACACATTTATATAGCGTTAGATTCAGTCTTTACAGCTAAACGTAAAACTTTTCCATCAAAACGATAAAAACAAAACATGAATGAAGCCGTAAGGTGAGCGATCGGTGAAGCAGTCCAACCATAACACAGGAATAGTACACTTCAGCAGAGAGAAAGTTGTTATGGAAGCAAAATAATGACAGGCGTCTCCCTCTACTGGACATATCAGGTATTGCATACTCAGAAAGAAATGATCTACTTTCCGGAAACTTCCATCACAAAGCATGGCAAACGGGCAGTGAGTTAGATTTCTAGATTTTTAGGCTGTAAAGGACCAGAATTAAAGTACTTGCTGAATTATAAGATGGTATTTTTCTTTGAACCCTGGGGCCCATAGAGCAAAGCAGCCAATGTAATTATTTGTTCAGGCGTCTCCAGGGTTTAACTTATTTTTAATACATTTTGTCACATTTTCGATTTTCTCAACAGTTTCTGCTTGATGCGTTTGTGATGAGTCAGAACGACTCTGAAACACTGAGGGAGACCAGAGAGAGACCAGAGACAGAGCAGAGAGACCAGAGAGAGAGACCAGAGACAGAGCAGAGACGGAGCAGAGAGACCAGAGAGAGACCAGAGAGAGACCAGAGACGGAGCAGAGAGAGTGAGACAAGAAAGACCAGAGAGAGACCAGAGAGAGACCAGAGGGAGACCAGAGAGAGACCAGAGAGAGAGACCAGAGACAGAGCAGAGACGGAGCAGAGAGACCAGAGAGAGACCAGAGACAGAGCAGAGAAAGACCAGAGACAGAGCAGAGACGGAGCAGAGAGACCAGAGAGAGACCAGAGACAGAGCAGAGAAAGACCAGAGACAGAGCAGAGACGGAGCAGAGAGAGACCAGAGAGAGACCAGAGACAGAGCAGAGAAAGACCAGAGACAGAGCAGAGACGGAGCAGAGAGAGACCAGAGAGAGACCAGAGAGAGACCAGAGACAGAGCAGAGACAGAGCAGAGAGAGACCAGAGACGGAGCAGAGAGAGTGAGACAAGAAAGACCAGAGAGAGACCAGAGAGAGACCAAAGAGAGACCAGAGAGAGACCAGAGAGAGACCAGAGTGCTTTGATCGTAACATATGTGGCGAATACACAGATGCATAGTCCAGCAAGTACTCTGTTACCTCAGCACAGGGCAGGGGGTGGTGGGGTTAGTGGGTGTTATGGGTCCGGAACAGTCTCCCTGAAAATGTGAGCGAGGCATTGACACTGACGATGGTCTGATTTCCATGTGTTAATGTTATGAATTACCTGTGTGTGGTATTGAATTGTGTTTTTAATGGTGATTGTGGCGTTTTATGTCTAGATTGTGTGAATAAGGTCTTGTCTCTTGCCATTGGTGCTAATGTGTGTGTGTTTTGTTGGAGGGTATGGCAGTAAATTAAAAAAGTTAATTTTGTTGTCCTGTATATAAGGCTTTGAACCTTATATAAACCTTTGTCTGGTTCTTTTAATCAGACAAAAAAGTACAGAAAACTAGTATGATAGTGTATTGTATGTGTCTGAATGGCATGTATCGTTTGAAATAGCTAAGAGCACATGTGGCTGTGTCCAAATGGATTATTTAAATTGGACATAAACAGTGAACCGGTTAATTCTAATATCTTAAGTTCATTTCTTGACTGTGTCCTTAGTGTTGGAGATTTACATATGAGAAAGTGGAGCATAATGTGTATCCCGTTCTGTTCCAGCAAAGCCATAAGACAAATAATAAAATAACAAATAAAAAGACCTCCACACAAACATGGTTCAACCATGTGGAGACTAAACCCCGCCCGCCTGGGGACCTGCGACTCGCCATCCAACGCACCCGAGCACAAGTGAATGCTGCGCTCCAATAACCGCTTCCAGACCGAAAACTGTAAGCGTGAAGGATTTTGTATACATTTTAAATAATCATCAGTCCTCGTCAAGAGAAGCAAAAACATCTGAAACAGTTCGTCGATCGATGAGACTCGTTCAAAGCAAAAATATTGAGAAAATAATGGTGAAAAAGGCGACAGAGGAGCAGAGCAGACCGTCACAAACAAACACTTACTTCAATGCAGATGTAGCTTCACGCTTTTTTGGGGTTTCACTTTTTACTCCATGGGTCTAGATCATTTTACTTTGCGTTTTTGAACAGAATGCAACTTGTTCCACTGCAAAAAATTATAAATATGAGGTAATATTTGCTTGAAATGAGTGGTTTTTATCTTGAGCAGTACATTTTGACCGTCTTAAAACAGGATTCTCCAACGGGACAAAGTTATATAGTCTTAATTTCAAGAACTGTTGCGTTATTTTCTCATTCTCATCACTGTTGGCAAATCTTGTTTTAATGCAGTCAGAATGTGCTCATTTTAAGATAGACTTAGCCAAATGTTAGCAATTTTGTACCTATTTTTCATAATTTTTTGCAGTGTATGTGTTGCAAGGATAATTATTTGTCAATGGGTTGAGTCAAAATGACGCCCAATGGCAAATACAGAATCTGTCAACTCCGGATGCACCGATACCGTTATGAGCAAATACTGGAGAAGGGACTGAAAGTAGCCACTCGACCAAAGTTTGTTGATTGGTCGGCTAAAAAGGGGGCGTGGCCAAAGCTTGACATAATATCTAATCTTTTGTTGTTGTTGCATTAAATCAAAGTATATTATCTTCTGGTAATTTTGCCAATACTTTTTCAGTTCAGACAACCATAGAAATCAAATATTCTGACAATATTTAGTCACCAAAACTACTAAAGGACTAAAGAAAGCAACTCTTGGGCCAAAACTCTACTCCAGAATCGATATTATTGGCGCAAACTTCAATCTAGAGTAAAAAATCTAGATCCCATAGATAATTCCATCAAACCCTCAGAAAAGCTGAAAAAAATCATCTGAATTCAAGTAAAGTCAAGTTTGAAGAGACGTGACATGAATGTAGCGCGGTCCAAAAGTCCTGGCACCCCCAAACCCTCACTGCTGATTGGCCGGTGGCGGCGGTGGCAACATGGGGGCGGACCGGTCGTTTGTTATAGTCCGCCTCAGCTTGACTTGACGGATCATGGAGGCCATCGCTCCAGCTCTGGGCTCCTCCTCTGCCTCCTCGTCTTGGGGTTGATTGGGCGACTGTGGTGGTGGTAGTTCTTGGGTCTCGCTGCGGCCGCTGTATCCCGGGCCGGAGCCCTCTCCCTGGGGTAGCGTGGACGCCGTGGACGGGGCCTGGTGGTGGTTCTGGACGTGGTAAAGCTGTTGCCGTTGCTGCTGCGTCAGACCCGGGTGACCCTCGGGCTGCGGGGGCTGCGGGGCGGGCATCTGCGGGTGGCTGGGGATATGGTTGGGGTAGACTTTGGTGTTCTCTTGCCGGTGAACGTGCTGAAACTGCGCCTGGTTCTGAAGCTGCTGGAGGTGTTGCGGCAGCGGCGGCTTCTTCTGGACTTGCGGCGGACATTTTGGTTGTGCGTACACCTGATTTTGGGCGTTTTGCTGCAGCTGCTTTGAGAACTGCTGTTGTTTCGCTTGGTGGTTCTCTGGTATGGTTGGGACGGGCACCGGGATCGGCATTTGCCCCGGGACAAGCTGGTAGTACGGCGACACGCTCGGGGGTATGGCGCTCAGGCTCTGGGTGGAAGTACACAGCTGGTTGTTATGCGGCAAGACTCCGCCGGGTAAGTTCTCATCGCTGAATTGCGCCTTCAGTGGAACCTGCGGGGTGGAGATGGGAATGGGCACTCCCCCGCTGATGGTGCCTCTGCGGTAGGACGGTTTGGACGAGGGTTTGCGGCGGATGGTGGCGGTGTGCGATCCTCCGATGCACTCTCCGTCGGCGAGGAGGCTGACGGTGGAGGCGGGGCGCTTGGACTGAGCAAACTTGCGGAACTGGACGCCGAGGTCGGAGTTGCGGGGGATGGTGGAGGACTTGTCGAAGTCGCTCTGGCTGAAGCCGTGGTGGAGGTGGTGCAGGGAATCCATGTCGCCGTGCAGAGAGATGGACTCGTAATCCACTGGGAGGAGCAGAAGAACACGTTAGATTTCAGAAAACAAGAAAGATCTACTCGTGACATCGGGTTTGGGCATTTTGAGTAAACACACAATCATTTCTGAACACTAAACTGCTACTTTTCTCTTGCTCTTTGATCCTGCAGCCTATAAAGCAATGCGGCTAATGCGTGTAATTCTAATGCGGTACACTTGTCAGAGCAGTCAATTTGACGGGTTTTAGTTTTGGAAGTGTAATTATTGAACTTGTTTGATCTTCCTACATTTGTGACTTATCTGTGTTGATACATGTGTGTCTACGTCATTGTTTCTATGACACATTTTATATTTGGAAATGTGAGAAAAATAACTCTCGAGAAGTTATTTACCACCAGAAAAGGGCATGTGCTAGTTACCATGGCAACACACCTGTTTACTGTTAGCAGATAGCATTAGCCTTTTTTAAATTATTTCAAGTAATATTCACTAGTTCAGCCCTCATTAAAAGTGAGTAAAGAAAAACAAATATTACAGATCATCGACTTCTTATAAAACCAGTGAGACCTTTGGTTTGAATGGGAGCAGTCAAAATGACGGCTCTGGGAGTTCGAGTAGTTTCAGAATTAAGGACTAATTAATATTATTATTTTGTTGCCAAGGTTTAGTATATTACTGTGAATGAGGCATGGACGCTCACAGTTGTGTCCAGTTAAATCACATTCTGCTGCATTAACATGAAAACCTGCGGCTTATATTCAGGTGAGGCTTGTATGTGGACAATATATTTTCTTTTCAAATGTCGGCGGTGCGGCTCATGGTCCAAAATGTACGATAGAGTTTTGATGATGCCTCCTCCATCTATACTGATACTGAAGACTTGAAGCATAATGGGACAATTTGGACTCTTAAGGCTGTTTTCTATTGGTCTGAGAACAAATATTAATAATATTGGGTATATTTACTATATTTACCAACGACCAGTGTATTTACCAACGACCAGTGTAAGAGATTTAAATTAAAATAGTCACAATTTAAACAGAAATTGACTATTTCAAAGCAAATTCAACCAGTTTAGTCCTCGAGCAGAAGAAAACACAAACAAAAGGAAAGACATCAGGAGTGAAAGTAACAGAATGGAAAAACGTACCATAAATAAGAGGAGGTTTCTTCATAACTGAACAAGGACAGGAGTTGGAGACAGGAAGAGGAGAGATGGAAGACGTTAGACACACCACAGGAAGAACAGACAAAGACTGGAGACTAATTATGAGAAAAGCCAAGCAAAGGCATGGAATAAGACACGGGAGAACAAAGGATAACTCTATAATACTGTAAATAATGAGTTCATGAGAAAACGAATCAGAATGACACATAAAATGCAACGTTTTTTCCAGGATCCTGCTACATTGTTACGGCTAAAGTCTGTACGTTGGGGCCTTCAGGAGCTACTACTGTACACCAGAACCAAATGATAAAGCTTTTCCATTATGTAGCCTAATTGTCTTGTAGTAGTAGTAGTAGCAGCCATCATCCGAGTTAGGTGTCATGTCTGCATGTGTTTAGTTGACTAAGGATAAGTGCGTACTGTCCCTTTAAGAGCGTCTCCCCTCAGGTGCAAGTGTTTGCCAGTGTAACTTTCACTTTCATATTTGCAGAATCCTTTACATTAATGTGCACGATGGGACAGTTTTGGTGCTAGACCTTCACAGGCAATGCATTCTGGGTAGTGAATACTCAGAGCTAACCCTAAGAGATGGATGCAAAGCAGTGTTGTGGGCGGGTCTTGAGAATGGCCACTGACCGTGTGAGTGGATGGTGTCCTCGGAGCAGGACGGGGTGGTGGTCTGGGTGCTGTACCCGCTGGAGCAGTGCAGGGAGTCCCGGCTGCTCCTGGAGGTGTCCGAATGGAGCGCTCCCAACGTCAATGCTAGCTGCTCACGGGCCGAACACGACGACTGCAAAACAAGGAGCTCAGGGTTTACTAACTGGATCACTCTTACTTCAAGCGGCAATAAAATAAATGTATCAACCATTTAGTACCTAATAATACTAAAAAAATGGTCATGGAGGCTTTTTGAATGGGATAATTACCAAGGCAGAAGACTATTTAATAATTAATGGGGATATAACTAGAATCAATCTGTAATTATAGATTATACATTATGCAAAAAGAAAAATCAGGCAAGAACAAACTGGGTGTTTCGGACGTAACACTTTGAACAGCTCCAGACGTTTAGGATTTAACGAGTGGACGCATAGTTCGGGCGTGGGCAAAGCAGAGCGCCCGAGTTTAAGTAGTGCGCCCTCCACTGGACAAACAAGGAACGGCCGCGGACATTTTGGGACTTTTTGTCCTTGGCCCAAATGTAACACAGTTGTATAGAAGTGAGCCAACTACATCCAAGACCAGACCAGATCCACGTTTCTATGACTTTTTCCAATCCACAAACTTCTCCCTCCATTTAAATAAACAGGAATTACTATGATTTTTTACAACTTAATGAGTGCTACAATGGCGTGCGTAATAATTCATCAAAACCATTCATCTTTCCACAATGCTTTAGCTCAGCTCTGGTTCAATCCAAGCAAGAATTCAAATCTTGGGCGACACGGTGGTCCTGGGTTGGATTCCACCCCCAGGATTTTCTGTGTGGAGTTTGCTTGTTCTCCCTGTGTCTGCTCAAGTATTCCTCCAGGTGCTCTGATTTCCCCTACGACTAAAAACATGCACAATAGGTCTGGGGGTTTTTAATGCCCCTGTGTGTTTCGGTGGAAAAATATCTGAACTCTTTATCACTCTGTGTGATCTTGGACTGTAAAATGCACTATATACTGTATATATATATAAAGATGACTGACTTATTCACTAAAGAAAAGTAAAAGACACAATCCAAGTGTATAAGTACCTCCCATATAGTAAAAAGTGAAAACAAAAAGCTATAGCTAACCCTAACCCAGCTTTTCATCAAATACACATGTTTTAACAGAATTAACATACCAAAACAAAATGAACAAAACTAATAGTAATCACATTAAAAAGGAGTCCGGCCCTCTACATTATACCAGAACCCCAAAAAATAAGACCTTCGAATAGACGCACTACATATAGACTGCCACAAGGGGGAGCTCAGTGGGGCCTTACCTTCCCGGAGGCAGACATGGCTCGGGCGCGCTCTCCCGGATGGCTGTACGTGTTGAGGGGAGGAGCCAGGAGGCCGTTCTCTGTGGCCACGCCCCCTCCTCCACCAGGACACAGCTGATTGGTTGAACCCATCGAGTCCTGGAAGAAGACAGCCCATGAAACGCAAGAACGACGGGGATATTTAAAGAAATCATACATCAAATGCATTTTTTTTTTCAATTTAATAAGGATGTGTCATTTAGATATTTTGACTAAACAAAGTTGTTCCGATAAAGATAAAAAATGTGGAGATTAAACATCCACACGATATAACAACACAACAATGGAACCACACACAAATATACAAAAATGAAAGATAAAGAAGGGACAAGAAAACACTTCCACACTCAGAACCGAGACTGGGTCGAGATTTTGGAGGAGCCCGTCCTCACAGCAGTACTTCATTGTTTATAAATAATCTTGATTGTTCACTATTAAATTGCATGTATGTGTCGTGACTCTATGATGTCTGTCGTGACTCTATGATGTCTGTCGTGACTCTATGATGTCTGTCGTGACTCTATGATGTCTGTCGTGACTCTATGATGTCTGTCGTGACTCTATGATGTCTGTCGTGACTCTATGATGTCTGTCGTGACTCTATGATGTCTGTCGTGACTATGATGTCTGTCGTGACTATGATGTCTGTCGTGACTATGATGTCTGTCGTGACTATGATGTCTGTCGTGACTATGATGTCTGTCGTGACTCTGATGTCTGTCGTGACTCTATGATGTCTGTCGTGACTCTATGATGTCTGTCGTGACTCTATGATGTCTGTCGTGACTCTATGATGTCTGTCGTGACTCTATGATGTCTGTCGTGACTCTATGATGTCTGTCGTGACTCTATGATGTCTGTCGTGACTCTATGATGTCTGTCGTGACTCTATGATGTCTGTCGTGACTCTATGATGTCTGTCGTGACTCTATGATGTCTGTCGTGACTCTATGATGTCTGTCGTGACTCTATGATGTCTGTCGTGACTCTATGATGTCTGTCGTGACTCTATGATGTCTGTCGTGACTCTATGATGTCTGTCGTGACTCTATGATGTCTGTCGTGACTCTATGATGTCTGTCGTGACTCTATGATGTCTGTCGTGACTCTATGATGTCTGTCGTGACTCTATGATGTCTGTCGTGACTCTATGATGTCTGTCGTGACTCTATGATGTCTGTCGTGACTCTGATGTCTGTCGTGACTCTATGATGTCTGTCGTGACTCTATGATGTCTGTCGTGACTCTATGATGTCTGTCGTGACTCTATGATGTCTGTCGTGACTCTATGATGTCTGTCGTGACTCTATGATGTCTGCTTATTATCCTCCATGTTCTTACATTTTTTTAACATGAATCACGATATATCACAGAATCAAATCACAATACTTATTGTATCGCGATATGTTGAGAATCGCGATACAATATTGAAATGTGCCTTAAATATCGCGATACTATCGAACCGCCCGGTGTGGTCGCATGTGGTCTTGTCCCGTCCCCAATGACACTGTACATTTGTCAAACATGGCACATCACGTATGAACAAAAACACACGTGTGGCCCAGGTAAATCAGTCTCTGGGTTTGCACTAAGACATGATGAGGTCACATGACACCACGGCAAGGTTCCTCACGGCGGCTCGGTCCCTGCGGCTGTAGCGGCGGTCGCCATGACGATCGGGGGCGTGGCCGTGGCCGTAGCGGGGAGGTCCGTGGAAGCTGTACGTCCGGCGGGCGTTTCCGCGGCGACAGGGCGAGTTCCCTTCGCTGAGGGAGCGGGCCGTTTCACAGCCAATCCGGAGGAAGGGGGAGGAGCCTCGCTGGGTGAGGAGAGCGCAGCCTTTTATTGTGAAGGGCACTTTTGAATGTTCTGGAAACGGCAACAAGTCCTAAGTAGCTCTGAAACAGTTGTTTTATGTTTTTACAATTGTTATTTTTCTTGCTTTTTTCTGCTTGAGATGTTGCTGCAGTTCAGTGTTCATGGTTTTACACTGGTCCAGACCAGAGAGGATTCATGGTTTTACACTGGTCCAGACCAGAGAGGATTCATGGTTTTACACTGGTCCAGACCAGAGAGGATTCATGGTTTTACACTGGTCCAGACCAGAGAGGATTCATGGTTTTACACTGGTCCAGACCAGAGAGGATTCATGGTTTTACACTGGTCCAGAGCAGAGAGGATTCATGGTTTTACACTGGTCCAGACCAGAGAGGATTCATGGTTTTACACTGGTCCAGAGCAGAGAGGATTCATGGTTTTACACTGGTCCAGACCAGAGAGGATTCATGGTTTTACACTGGTCCAGAGCAGAGAGGATTCATGGTTTTACACTGGTCCAGACCAGAGAGGATTCATGGTTTTACACTGGTCCAGACCAGAGAGGATTCATGGTTTTACACTGGTCCAGAGCAGAGAGGATTCATGGTTTTACACTGGTCCAGACCAGAGAGGATTCATGGTTTTACACTGGTCCAGAGCAGAGAGGATTCATGGTTTTACACTGGTCCAGAGCAGAGAGGATTCATGGTTTCACACTGGTCCAGAGCAGAGAGGATTCATGGTTTTACACTGGTCCAGAGCAGAGAGGATTCATGGTTTTACACTGGTCCAGAGCAGAGAGGATTCATGGTTTTACACTGGTCCAGAGCAGAGAGGATTCATGGTTTTACACTGGTCCAGAGCAGAGAGGATTCATGGTTTTACACTGGTCCAGACACCTCAGTTTCTCTTACAGGAAACAATTAGTAAGTAAGTAATCTTTTATTATATACCGCCTTTCACAGACCAGAGTCACAAAGCGGTTTACAATTGTGGGCATTAGTCTCTCACTCCACACAGAGATGGGAGCGGGGCCAGTACAGGAGGCACATGGCAGACCGGTTTTTAGTGGTAGGGGAAACCGGAGCACCCTAAGGAAACCTACGCAGACATGGGGAGAACATGCAAACTCCACTCAGAAAGGCCCCGTTCTGACCTGAATTCGAACCCAGGACCTTCTTGCTGAGAAGCGAGAGTGCTACCCACTCAGCCACCGCCCAATAAAGTATCCGTCCATCTATCTATCTATCTCTGGGGCAGCCATCTTTGAACTCTAAAGGCAGGCAACAGCTCCCGGGATTCAAGAAAAACAAGTTTGAATAAAACTGGAGCATTTAGACCAGGGATGTCCAAACCATTTAGAAAGACGGCCACTTTAGTTCATCAGACTGGATTAATAAAACTGGATAGGAGCTGGATTGACTGGATTCTGGAATTTAAAATGGGTTATGATACGCCCTTATTGATCAACAGCTGCATTTGATTTGATTGTTGCGACACAATCATAAAATAAATGAGTAATTAACAATAGAGATAACCTGGAGGTGCACGCCGTCCACTGCGCAGCTGATGGAGTCCAGAGACGGGACGTGCCTCACCGAACCACACTGGTAATTACTGACAGGAAAAGGACAAAAAGAGGCTATAATCAGAAGGGACAGATCGTCTAAAAGTGGCTTCTGTTGTGTCACGAACGCCGCCATTACCTGCTGAAGCTGCTCTTCCGGGACAAAGAACTGGGAGAAGCTGGAGGCGTCTGATATGTGTAGGTGAAGTCTGAGCCTTTCAGGTCCAAGATCACCTACGGAGACATGGAGACAAGGACATTCAGACAGGTCAAAGACAGCGATTAGAAGTTCATGTGAGGGTTCGTTTGGGTGTGAACGGACTGTACGTAAAATATTTGTGGCTGGATGTTAAGGGTGAATGTGGGAGGTAGGGTGGTAGTAAGGGGGGAGTATGTGATGTTAAATTTAGAAAAGAAATTAAAGAAATAAACAGCTTTTTGGCTATGCTAGTGACAGTTAGGCTAGTGACAGTTAGGCTAGTGACAGTTAGGCTAGTGACAGTTAGGCTAGTGACAGTTAGGCTAGTGACAGTTAGGCTAGTGACAGTTAGGCTAGTGACAGTTAGGCTAGTAACAGTTAGGCTAGTAACAGTTAGGCTAGTAACAGTTAGGCTAGTAACAGTTAGGCTAGTAACAGTTAGGCTAGTAACAGTTAGGCTAGTAACAGTTAGGCTAGTAACAGTTAGGCTAGTAACAGTTAGGCTAGTAACAGTTAGGCTAGTAACAGTTAGGCTAGTAACAGTTAGGCTAGTAACAGTTAGGCTAGTAGAAGTTAGGCAACTTGCGGAGTAATCTACACTCCTCAATTGCGTTGATAGTGCGTTGCCAAAGGGCAGCGGTCATTATTGTTTTGAGAGGTCAGTTATCAAGAAATAATGACCAGTGGAACGTTTTGAAATGACATTTAAATCAATGGAGCGTTCTACTGCTGCTGTGAGGAGCCGTAGAATAATAATCTATAACTTCCTTTTATCAACTGTTTAGTTTGTATAATTCATAACTGAAAATAAAAATTGGACATGATATTTAGGCTAAATGCTACAGACAGAGACTGTAGGGTGGTACCTGTTCGCTGGCCGGGGGCAGCTTGTGTGGCTCCGCGGTCAGGCTACCGAGGTCTTCCAGGATGGTCTGCAGATGGGTCACTTCCCCCAACATGTTGATCTCATGGTCCTACGCACAAACACAACCATGTGACTGTTTCACTATCAACACTGCAAAAAAAACTGATAGAATATGAGGTCATAATGAGTGTTTTTTATCTTAATTTGAACACATTCTGACTGTCTTAGAACAAGATTTGGAATGGGACAAACTAGGGCTGGGCGATATGGCAAAAAGTAAAATCTCGATTTAATGTCCGGCTTTGGACGATTTCGAAGACAGACTTTGGCCTTAAAAATATGTTTCAATATTCAAGTTTCAAAACTATTTTTAATTTGTTTCCCCCGATACGAGTTATAAAAGTCTTTCATTTTTTCATTTTTCACAAATTTGATTTTTTCAAAAGCTGATTCGATTTCTTGCCCAGCCCTAAGATCTCAATCCAATGTAGATATTTCTTGTATCTTTTTAAAAACAAGATCATTTTGCTCATTGTCCCGTTGGTAAATCTTGGCTTTAATGTTCACTCCTTGAAGAAAGCAATGAAGCTGTTTCTATGAATTTCTAAGATGAAGGACACGAATAACAAATAATTTGCTTTTATTTTTACCTGTTTTACCAAATAGTTGGGATGCAGTTTGATGGTAAGTTTCTAAAACCAAGTGAGAAACCCCGAAAAGGAGTATTTCAAGAAGATATAGATGGAAAAGGTGATCTACCAAATGTTTGAGGAACTCTGTCCAAACCTACCATTTTAGACTGGCTTATTCTTTGTAATTATAAAATGTATTCTACTCTGTACTTTTAATATTGTGTGAGATGTTTATAATACATTGTAAGGCGTCCGTGGGTGTCTTGAAATTCACCATAAAATACAAATTAATTACTCATTTTAAAACAAGATTTTCCAGTGGGACAAAGCCATTTAGTTTTATTTTAAAAAAACAAGATATTTTCTCATTGTCTCGTTGGAAAATCTTGTTTTAAAGCTCAGTCTAAATGTGCTAAAATTAATGTTTTTTTCTTAATTTATGATGATTTATAATTTAATTTCACGTATAATATATTGAATTAACGAAGGGAAAGGGGAGAGATCATTAAGCTTTTGTACATGACTAAGTGAAAATAAATAAATGTAAACAACAAGAATAATGATAATTTTTGTGGTTTTGTGGTTTCTTTTGGTTGTCTTAAATTTATTGTAGATTTTTTTCTTGTTCTGTAGTTTTGTAATGTAATGTAATGTAATCTTTATTTATATACCGCCTTTTCACTATACATCGGAGTCTCAAAGCGGTTTACAATTGTTATTTTTTGGGAGTGGGGGTGCCAGTACAGGAGGCACATGCCAGACCTATTGTACATATTTTTTGTGGTAGGGGAAACCGGAGTACCCAGAGGAAACCTACGCAGACACGGGGAGAACATGCAAACTCCACTCAGAAAGGCCCTGGTCCAACCGGGATTCGAACCCAGGACCTTCTTGCTGAGAGGCGAGAGTGCTATCCACTCAGCCACCGTGCCGCCCATACACGGTGGCTGAGTGGATAGCACTCTCACCATTATTTGAACATAGAGTTTTCACTCTATGTTCAAATAATCTTTCATTCATTCACTTTCTGCAGTGAAAGAAAATCGTATTCTGTTTACTCCGTGGTACTTTATCTGAACATCACTAACAAAGATCCTTTTTGTGGTTAGTTTACGGGTTTTCAGTCTAAACGTGCAGGAGTGACGGGTCTTCGTACCAACACTGGCTTGAGCATCGTGACAAAGCTGCAGTATCGGGAGCGCTCTTCGATCAGAGCTTTGCACACGGCCCTCTTCTCCGTCTCCTCCAGGACGGCGTACCGGACATTCACGTCCTGAAGGGCACTGTCCAGCTGCCCTCTCGCCTCGCCTTTACCTGGAGAGAGAGGAGACAGGTGAGAGAGAGAGGGGACAGGTGAGAGAGAGAGGGGACAGGTGAGAGAGAGAGGGGACAGGTGAGAGAGAGAGGGGACAGGTGAGAGAGAGAGGGGACAGGTGAGAGAGACAGGGCACAGGTGAGAGAGACAGGGCACAGGTGAGAGAGAGAGGGGACAGGTGAAAGAGGGGCGGGGTAAGTAGAGAGAGAGGGGCGGGGTCAGGAGAGAGAGAGAGAGGGGACAGGAGAGAGAGAGAGAGAGGGGACAGGAGAGAGAGAGAGGGGGGACAGGTGAGAGAGGAGACAGGTGAGAGAGGGCAGGTGAGAGAGAGAGGGGACAGGTGAGAGAGAGAGAGAGGGGACAGGTGAGAGAGAGAGGACAGGTGAGAGAGAGAGGACAGGTGAGAGAGGAGACAGGTGAGAGAGGCCAGGTGAGAGAGGCCAGGTGAGAGAGAGAGGGGACAGGTGAGAGAGAGAGAGAGGGGACAGGTGAGAGAGAGAGAGAGGGGACAGGTGAGAGAGGGGACAGGTGAGAGAGAGGACAGGTGAGAAAGAGGACAGGTGAGAGAGAGGACAGGTGAGAGAGAGGACAGGTGAGAGAGAGGACAGGTGAGAGAGAGAGGACAGGTGAGAGAGAGAGGACAGGTGAGAGAGCGAGGACAGGTGAGAGAGAGAGAGGACAGGTGAGAGAGGGGACAGGTGAGAGAGGACAAGTGAGAGAGAGGACAGGTGAAAGAGGGGACAGGTGAGAGAGGACAGGTGAAAGAGGGGACAGGTGAGAGAGAGGACAGGTGAAAGAGGGGACAGGTGAGAGAGAGAGGACAGGTGAGAGAGAGGACAGGTGAGAGAGAGGACAGGTGAGAGAGAGGACAGGTGAGAGAGAGAGGACAGGTGAGAGAGGGGCAGGGTGAGAGAGGGGCAGGGTGAGGAGAGAGAGAGGGGCGGGGTCAGGAGCGAGAGAGGGGACAGGTGAGAGAGAGAGGGGACAGGTGAGAGAGAGGGCAGGTGAGAGAGAGAGGGGACAGGTGAGAGAGAGAGGGGACAGGTGAGAGAGGGGCGGGGTAAGTAGAGAGAGAGGGGCGGGGTCAGGAGAGAGAGAGGGGCGGGGTCAGGAGAGAGAGAGAGAGGGGACAGGAGAGAGAGAGAGGGGGGGACAGGTGAGAGAGAGGGGGGACAGGTGAGAGAGAGGGGGGACAGGTGAGAGAGAGAGGGGACAGGTGAGAGAGAGGGCAGGTGAGAGAGAGAGGGGACAGGTGAGCGGAGACAGGTGAGAGAGGGAAGGTGAGAGAGAGGGGACAGGTGAGAGAGGGGCGGGGTAAGTAGAGAGAGAGGGGCGGGGTCAGGAGAGAGAGAGAGAGGGGACAGGAGAGAGAGAGAGGGGGGGACAGGTGAGAGAGAGGGGGACAGGTGAGAGAGAGAGGGGACAGGTGAGAGAGAGAGGGGACAGGTGAGAGAGAGGGCAGGTGAGAGAGAGAGGGGACAGGTGAGAGAGGAGACAGGTGAGAGAGGGCAGGTGAGAGAGAGAGGGGACAGGTGAGAGGAGACAGGTGAGAGAGGGCAGGTGAGAGAGAGAGGGGACAGGTGAGAGAGAGGGCAGGTGAGAGAGAGGGGGGACAGGTGAGAGAGAGAGGGGACAGGTGAGAGAGAGGGCAGGTGAGAGAGAGAGGGGACAGGTGAGAGAGGAGACAGGTGAGAGAGGGCAGGTGAGAGAGAGGACAGGTGAGAGAGAGGACAGGTGAGAGAGAGAGGACAGGTGAGAGAGGGGCAGGGTGAGAGAGGGGCAGGGTGAGGAGAGAGAGAGGGGCGGGGTCAGGAGCGAGAGAGGGGACAGGTGAGAGAGAGAGGGGACAGGTGAGAGAGAGAGGGGGACAGGTGAGAGAGAGAGGGGACAGGTGAGAGAGGGGCGGGGTAAGTAGAGAGAGAGGGGCGGGGTCAGGAGAGAGAGAGGGGCGGGGTCAGGAGAGAGAGAGAGAGGGGACAGGAGAGAGAGGAGAGAGAGAGGGGGGGACAGGTGAGAGAGAGGGGGGACAGGTGAGAGAGAGGGGGGACAGGTGAGAGAGAGAGGGGACAGGTGAGAGAGAGGGCAGGTGAGAGAGAGAGGGGACAGGTGAGCGGAGACAGGTGAGAGAGGGAAGGTGAGAGAGAGGGGACAGGTGAGAGAGGGGCGGGGTAAGTAGAGAGAGAGGGGCGGGGTCAGGAGAGAGAGAGAGAGGGGACAGGAGAGAGAGAGAGGGGGGGGACAGGTGAGAGAGAGGGGGGGACAGGTGAGAGAGAGAGGGGACAGGTGAGAGAGAGGGCAGGTGAGAGAGAGAGGGGACAGGTGAGAGAGGGACAGGTGAGGAGGCAGGTGAGAGAGGAGGACAGGTGAGAGAGGAGACAGGTGAGAGAGCAGGGAGGCAGGTGAGAGAGAGGGACAGGTGAGAGAGAGAGGACAGGTGAGAGAGAGGGCAGGTGAGAGAGGGGGGACAGGTGAGAGAGAGAGGGGACAGGTGAGAGAGAGGGCAGGTGAGAGAGAGGGGACAGGTGAGAGAGAGAGGGGGCAGGTGAGAGAGAGGGCAGGTGAGAGAGAGAGGGGGACAGGTGAGAGAGAGGGACAGGTGAGAGAGAGGAGAGTGAGAGAGAGAGGGGACAGGTGAGAGAGAGGGGGGGTAGTAGAGAGAGGGGCGGGGTAGGGAGAGAGAGAGAGGGACAGGGTGAGAGAGAGAGGGGACAGGGACAGGGAGAGGGAGAGGAGGGGGCAGGTGAGAGAGAGGGGGGACAGGTGAGAGAGAGGGGGGACAGGTGAGAGAGAGAGGGGGGACAGGTGAGAGAGAGAGAGGGGACAGGTGAGAGAAGGTGAGAGAGGGACAGGTGAGAGAGGGACAGGTGAGAGAGAGGACAGGTGAGAGAGAGAAGGGACAGGTGAGAGGTGAGAGAGGGACAGGTGAGAGAGGGACAGGTGAGAGAGAGGACAGGTGAGAGAGGGGACAGGTGAGAGAGAGGACAGGTGAGAGAGAGAGGACAGGTGAGAGAGAGGACAGGTGAGAGAGAGAGGACAGGTGAGAGAGGGGACAGGTGAGAGAGAGGACAGGTGAGAGAGAGGACAGGTGAGAGAGAGGACAGGTGAGAGAGAGGACAGGTGAGAGAGAGGGACAGGTGAGAGAGGACAGGTGAGAGAGAGGGACAGGTGAGAGAGAGGACAGGTGAGAGAGAGGACAGGTGAGAGAGAGGACAGGTGAGAGAGAGGACAGGTGAGAGAGAGGACAGGTGAGAGAGAGGACAGGTGAGAGAGAGGACAGGTGAGACAACAGAGAAAAAGTATATACATAATACACAAAGAGAAAATGTCTGATTCAATTCAATGATACAGTATGTATAGTGTGTATATGTACGTGTTCTTGTGTCGCCCTAAATCACATCAGCAGTGATCTCGGACGACTTTACAAAGCCGTGGATTCACCAACACAGATCAGAGAAACAAACAGTTCACACTCAATAAATGCAATGATAAAAACACACAGAGCCACTGACCCCAGAGGATAAAAAGCTGCTGCTTAAAACCCTGAAAGTCAAGATGGTGAATTCTAAAAATGCAGGAGATGACAACAACAAGATAGCCACATGTTTTATGCACCAAATTCTCTCGGTCTGGAATGTAGTCGAGAAAAGGCAGCTATCGGGAAGGTTGGAGGTCAAAGTGGAGACGACCAAGAGATGGTTTACAGTTAATCAGATTGTGAAAACATGACACTGGAGTCGAATGAAGTCAGAATCTTGAGGTTTAAAACAGTGGCTTATGTAAATCCTATTGTATATATTCACTAATGACACTTGTAAACATGGTCGGTACAATAAGCATTAGCTTCGGTCTACACCTTTTTGGCCTTTTTCTGTTGTAAAATTACTGCTCGGTAACAATGTGGGTAATTGTACAGTGACCGGAATAGACTTCATTGTACTAGAGAGAGATACAGGCACAAATATGGTTTTCATAGAAGGAGGAGGAGTCATGAAGAGAAAATTAATGACTGATGACTTTCAAATGATATTATAATGGGTTAAAATCTCATTGAATTTCTTTGATCTTTTGACTTTTTTTTACTCAAGACAAAATGAACCTCTTTGATTTTTTATCCATTTTAATATTGGTAAATAACAAATATATTGTCCTATTTCTGGTTTATGACATATACAGAGAATATTAGCGTTACAGGTGACTATTTTATTATTCACAGCGCCTCAGAATTTTCCATTTCATCGTGAGTAACATGAAGTCACAAATTAGGAAATTGCTTTTGGCTCTCAGCAGAAACAAGTTATAAAAGTAATAATAGAATAACGCATGGAAAAAAATATATCTTGAAATTACTACTATATACAAATACGCACACAATAGACATTTATCATGCTGGTCAAAACAAAACTGAAAATCAAGAGGAATATATATAAAAAACAAAGGACATAATATAGTTTGCTTTTAGGTGCATTAACTAAATGCAACCAGCAGGTGGCAGCACACCCCAGACACCAGTTTGACCTCTTTCTCCTCTACGTCGCCTCCATGACTACAGACGCTGATAATAAAACAATAATTACACTGAGCAGAAGATAGAAAGTCCATATTGAAGGAAAGAAGGCTGCAGCGTGTGATAATCCAAGATACTTATCCCACAAACCCAAGGAAGAAAAGGTTCTGCTAACACCAGCCCAAGGCCAATCTACGTCACTGTATGTGTTCCCATTCCAAGATTACAGTATGCGTGATAAATAAAAGTTTATTTATTTAAGATGACAGGGACAGTGTAATAATAAACATTAACCTCAAAGGGAAAGTGTACCAGGTTATAGCTCAAGGGCTAATTCCACCCGTAGTCCCTGGGCAGGCTGATGTCATGATATTACTAGGGATGTCCAATATTGGCTTTTTGCCGATATTGTCCAACTCTCAATTTTCAATTCCGATATCAGCCAATACCGACGTCGATATGTGGGTTATTTTTCTTCAAAACTAATTTAGGTAA